ATCAATGTTATTACTGATAAACATATTGATTAATCAGCAACTGTAGGAAGTTTCGACCTGAGATCGTGTCTTTACAGACCCACACATACAGCAACTTTTCATAATTGTCAATAAATGAATAATAGAAATGATTTAATAATTGGATGTTTTGTTTTAGGGACACCATCAGAATATCAAACTGCTGAGAAATTCAATTGTTTTGCAGATGTTTTCTTAATCAGAGAATACCAACCAAATACAAAAATAACCAAGAAATTCATTTGTTTTGCTGGCACAGTTGTCCAGTTCCAGATCAAGTTGAAACTGTTGTGAACAGGGATATATTTCCTAGATACCATGTGATATCTGGGAGGCAATAGGGGAATTCTGACACATTGTTGATTAATAATAAATGATTGGTAAGTAGAAATGTGGCCTGGTTGTAATGTAACTATATGCTTTGGAATTGATGTAATTCGCTGAATGTCTACTTACACTACCATGCATATATATACTATTTTTACTATGGAGATGTTTGCCAGTGTCAGTGATTTTTGCCTCACTTAGATAGGCAAATATGAAACAGTAGATGAGGACATTTTATTGTAAAATGTAAGACACAGGAATGGAAGAGTTGTTCTGTTGTCTCCCTTTGCTTGTTATACTGTTTTTTAGTTTTGTTCTGTTTGTTTGTTTGTTTTTTGCATTACTTTTTTGTGAAAAAGGGTGTACAATTGATAACAGATATTATTTGCAGCCTTACCTTGAGTTTCCAGTTTCTGCTTTTTGCAATGCAATTTCTTCAGCATGTCTGGCTGCCATAACTGCATTTTCAATACGTTCTTTTAGTTTTGAGGTTCTTACGAAAAGTTTAGTTTTCTTCCCCGAGGAGATCAATACATTATTTTTGTATTTCCCTTCTTCCCTTGTACCATCTTTAAAAGTTGTTACTCCATAGCCGTATTTTTTGTTGTTATACCACTCTCCTTCATACTTGAGTCCATCTGTCCTTTTACTGATACCAAATCCAGAACGTTTGTCATTCTTCCATTCTCCAGCATAACTCTCAGTGGTATTAATATCTCCTATATCATCTTGGCTTATAAAACTGTGATTACTCTCCTGGTCAGTTTTCATGGAGGCATCCGTTACTCCAGACTGTACTGAATTAGCACTGATTCTGCTTATGCTGCTGATGGTGCTGCGCATAGATCCTGTAGGCCTTCCCGGCCTCGCAGCAGACTCGTTGATGTCTCCTGTACTTTTCTGTTTGCGTAGTTTTAGCCCAGAAAGAAAAGACTTCTTTAGACTGGAACGTCCATGTTTGTCAAATATGGATTTACGCCGCGTTGATAAATCCTCCTCTGCGTGTGCTCGCAGGACAAATCCTCCACGACTCTCGTCCAGTTTTTTGTCTCTTTCTTTGACCACTTTGTCGTCTTCTTGCTCACTGCGTAGTGAGGTCAGGGAGTCCCGCATTGCCTTGGGACGATAGTGTGAAGCCAGCCCATAGGTAACGCTCTGTCGTACACCATATCCATGTCTGGTGCCTCGCAACCACTGGCCTGCATACGTGCCTAGAAAACCAGAAATAAAGTGGGTAAATAAATTGATACTTGAGCTAATTCCTTGTTATGTACATTTATTAAAAATCGTTCAGTATATTTCAAGGAGGATTGTTATTTTATTTCATATATAAAATCATTGAAAATAGTTGTAGGCTTTAACAAATTCTCAGATAAGAAATATAAAGTACAGCATTTCACTGTGAAAAAGTTATTTTAAATGCAATGTTTCCTTCATGTTTCCCCTTTTTCACATTTGTGTTATGATTGAACTCCCACACGTGCTATCCCCTATCTTAATTTTGTATCAACTAAAACTGATAATTCCCAACAGCTTCTACAATTCAATGACTGTGTTTGAATTATCTTTCCTCAAACCAAGAGAGAGTAGAATTAGCAGACATGTTGGCATGGGTTACAAAAAACAGGTGTGTTTTAACTGGCAATTTTGTCTTAAGTGGTGTACTTTGTTCTTTCTTTTTTTCTGACATGCTGTGATGACTACCAAATGAAGACTAGAGAATTCCCAGCGAGCTTAAAATTCAGCTTGAATATATATCCATTAATCTGCAATGTCACCTGAATCCAAAGCAATTAATACATGGGACATAATTCACTTTTGTTGTCTTGTGCAGAATCAATGGAAATGTAATTGAGAAGCGGCTTGACTGATTTCTAAGGTAAATGTGACAAACAAAATGCAGCTTCTTCTTACAAAAAAATACCCATTTATTGAATCTGGTCTTTCAATTTACAGGTACATTTATGAAAACAAGTACTGAGGTTATATGCATTTTTTAAATAAAATATTGAAGAAAATTATCAATAATCAGATACCATTTTTTTCATTTGCTGTATGTTAGTGATATGTACCAATAGAATTCAGCCAATAGAGGGCACCAGTGCATACCAGGTACAATGAGAGTTCTGCATGGCTCGAAATGGCCTCGTGTACACAGCAAGATTATACTTGAATATAATCCCAACCAAGTCCCAACTGAGTAAGATAATTTTATTCATACTCATTGGCAACTCGTCTCAAGAGTACAGTGTAGTTAGCAGTATTAGATAAAAAGAGAGACGGGGGCCCATTTAAGCCTCATGGGTTTCAACTTAGTTAGATACAGGGCAGATACCACAATGACTGGGTAAAAGTGGATTACTGCAAAGAAATATTAAGTCAGCATTATGTTATGCACCGTAGTGCATAGAATAAGACATATTATATATGCAGCAATTCATTAATTTATATAATTTTACCCTAAAAAATTTCTTTCCCTAAGTATCAATCATTTAATTAACATTTTTAAACAAATAGATATACTTAAGAATTGTCAATAAACTGACTGAGTTTACAATATAAGATCTGATTTTTGCTTCACAGATAGATGAAAAATATTTAATATTTTAACAATGGAAGTAAAAAAGCATTATCATTGAGAAGCTATCCTAATGATGGTATATATTACAAGCAGTATATGCAGGTAGATTTTCACTGTTTGTCAACCCATTTGGTGCTGGCATATAAATAGCTGTTGATAGTGGCTACGCAGACAAGGACTATTTTCAACTGAACATAATCCTAACTTGTTTCATCATATGGCAGTGATATCTCATAGACAGTGTGCCCTAATAATTCTGTGTACACCTCATGTACAGATGCAGACACCATGGACAGGGATGGTTCTTTCAAATCACTCTTTTGGCAAGAGAAAAAAGTCCCTTCTAAATCATAATTTCCTTTACACTCATGGTCAAAGACCCATTTCTTTACTGATAAAGAAATCCTCCCTTTGAAATTACCAGCTAGGCTACAGGTCTAAGATATATTCATCTTAGCTGAAGATTTAAAGATTTTTTTAAAAATTCAATATTTTTAACTATTTGTTATGAATGCTTTGGGTGTTACTGGATCTTTCAGTGACCACTTCTCCCCTCCCCCCCCCCCCCAAAAAAAAAAAAAATAGTTACCATGTGCATAATCAATTTCCATGCATCTGCCTACATGGAGATGTAACACCTACTTGCATCCAATAAGATATAGTGCCTAGGTTTTTTGTGCCAGGTATGTTCAGCTCATGCTGTTAACTATAAATATCAGTGTTGAGAGAGTTTATTTTGAGGTCCACTGTAACTATAATTTACAGGTCTCCCTCTGTTAAAAATGTGCCCTCCATACAGTCCTGACCCCTACTGGTTGATTTTTAGACTATATGTCTACATCGGACCACCATTCTTCTGTATAGATTAAGTAATTATGAATTTTCTGGCAGTGTAAGAGGGCACTTAAGGGCAACTTAAAGTTGTACATCTTAGAAGGTACTGAAAATGTGGATTTTAATTTATTAATGCACTCTAAATAAAAACTGTTCCTAGATGAATATAACATTTCAAAGAACACATATATCCTTATCATATGATATGGGTTGCGTTATTGAAAATGTTTAATGCTATAAAAAATAAAACAGGCATATGAAATGGCTCAGTGTGAAAGCGTGAACTATCATCAGCAGCTGAAAATGCAATTGTGCCAGCCACTGTGTTATAGTACTAGCATTTTACATCACAGCCATCATCAGCATCTTCATTGTCATCATCAACATCATCTAGAGATTTGTGACCACATCATTGAACCTTGCATTTCCCAATTGTATATTTGTATTGTGTGTGTGTATATATATACATATATATTCTTTCTTAAGTTACAAGAATAATTGCTTCAAAGCAACAGTTTTTTGTACTCCAGTATTTCTGTGCAATAATGAAGAAGGTATGCCATTTATGTACTTGGTTGCTTCTTTTGTTATTCACATTAGAATGGCACTTAACAATTGCATATCACATGCATTAATGCACAGAGTTAGCAAGCCAGTATATATACACTAATGACTTTTTTCATTTTTCATTTTCCCATTAATTTTTTACAACCATTATCTTGCAAACAACAAACAAAGACTTTGAGGCACTTTCTGTTCTAATGGCACATTTACTTCACAGATAAAACATAGCAGAGGAAGTCTGGATCATTAGATGAACATTATCCCATACAAGTGCATATATCTACATCACAGTCTAAACTGCGAGGATGCTACATTTACTATCTGTATGGCAGTTACTGCACAGCCATTAGATGGAAAATGCCGTACAGACATTAACTGAACAAGCCATGTTATTGGTTGCCATTGCATGTGGTATAAAGTCTCCTTTGCACGACCAGCCTGGCATTTTTTTCTTCTTTTTCTTCATTGAGACTACCTGAGTTTCTATATTGCCTGTTTCTAATAAGTCACAGACTGGCAGAGCTGAGGCAGAATAGTTGTAAAATTTCATTTGCATTAGACATAGAAGTCAAGTGTAGAATTAGAAATGTAGAAATGTAGAGTTGAATGCTGCTGGTGAAATGCAAGATGTAACAATTTTATGAACAACTGCCAATACGAAACCACAATATAAAGTAAAAAGTGCCAGTTGCAAAACACCATCATCTAATTGCAGTGTTTTAAGTAATTGTGTTATGCTTTTAGTAAAACCCAACCAGTGACCTACGAAGACCCATGGCCTGGGAAATCTTCCTGCTAATGCAATTGAAGGGAATTACATTAATTACATCAAAATTATGTTTTGTGTGAGCTATTACCCAATGATGCTATCAATATAAATGACACTGGATGTTCCGGAAATTGAATCAAAATTGTGAAAACATGAGACATCATGCTCGTTTTACACCATACTGCTGTTTTTCTTGTACAGAGATTCTTAATTAAGACTAGGAAGAAAGAAGTTCATTTCATTACATTTGAGGTCTACAATTATTTCAGGGCCTTTGAAATCATTATCAAATATTTTTAGAATCATTGCAAAGAACTCATTAAACACAATTTTGAATTGATCCACAAATTAATATGTAGACATGGAGTGATTTCATAAAGATATTAAACTAATGAAATATTTTCATTGGATTTATTTAGACTTTGCATACCAGTTTACCACATGCTTGTGACTACAGCAAATGTTGACCTTGAATGGATCAGTATTTTTTAATGGAATTAGTAAAAATAATACCATCTTGACTATTTTAGACCACATTCAATTACACTGTAGATTTTATCACAATGTTTTATAAATCTGGATTTGTATTGGTGATAAAACACTGTTACAGTAAAACTTTGCGTGACTTCTTAAGTAGCCAGTAATTACTTGATAGGTAATGTTGTATTGTTTTCTCCAGTATACAAACACTGCCTTATCAGTACAATGTTGGACTAGGCTCAAGTGAAATCATATAAGTTTATATGAACAACTCAAACCAAAAGTTTATCCCCAAGTGTCATGGGCTTAACCATCATTGTGTTCATAACACTGAGATGATATTTTACTGTGCAAAGTCTACATTTTTTTTCAAATCTATAAAATGTGGTGATAATTTGAATATAACTCAGTTGAATTCTGAAAAATAGAAGATTTTTATGCATTCACTCCTGCCACTCCTGAACAATCTTGCTTCAGTTCTCAATTGTTCACATTTCTCTTCAGTAAAATTGAATTGATCTTCTGCCTCCATATATTTTTTTGCAAATCACATGATGTAAAACATAAAGAGTGACACACTTTAATTTTGGAATAAAATCTTTCTTCTCTCAAAGAAATATCAATTTCATGAGACTGAGAGAACAGTTTGAATACCACGGCCTGAACGTGAAACATTTAGGTCTGCTACCTCTTCTTCTTAAAGCAAGGGTCCTGTTGAGTAGTATAGCTGTAGTAAAAACCTCCAGACTGCTGTTACTGTTTGTTTTTATTTTAACACCAAGGGTGATGGAGGACCTCTCAAAATGGCTTAATGTCCAGGACAATTACCAAACAGTTTGTTCTGATTTGTGACTCATTGTGCACATTTATTGTGAGGGTGTTTTATTTAGTTTTCAGGCCAGCTACAGGACTTTAAAACCATGTTTGTGTTGTAATTTTTAAGTAGCTTGTTTGGATATCTGACTCACAACTTCTTGAGCATG